TTGCCGCCGCCGTGGCTGCCGCCGCGGGCCGCAAGGGCAAGCAGCTGGCGGAGCCCGGGACCCCCGACACCAGCCCCTTCTGGCATCCCCAGGCCTGCCGCGCCGAGGAGGCGGCACAGGCCCTGCTGGAGATGCACAGCGGCAGCAGCCTGGAGAGCAGCCTGTCGGAGCAGCTGCCGCTGACCAGCCGCGGCGCGAGCCCCGACCGCGACCCGGCGGCCGCCGCCGCGCCGCCGCCCAGACGGGGCGGCGCCCAGCCAGCATTCCCCGCCCCTGCGCCGGCCGCCGCGGCTGTGCCCTATCCCGTCTACCGCCCCACGCCCGTGCACGGCGCGATGGACCCCACAGCAGGCCTGCTGGCGCCGTGGTTTGTGGCACCCGCGGCGGCGGCGCCCGTGGCGCCGGCGCTGCCGTTGCTGCCGCCCGCGCCGCGGCTGCGCGGCGGCTGCCCGCCGCCCGCGGCGGCCTGCGGCGCTGGCGTCGATGCCGGCGTGCTGGCGCAGGCGCACCGCTGGCTGGCGTCTGTGCTGGCGCAGCAGGAGCAGGAGAGGCGGTACCTGGAGCAGTACAACCACCTGCTGCTGCTGCAGGCGATGCAGCAGGAGCAGGCGCGGCGGCGGCAGCAGCACACGCAGCGCTGCACGCCGGCCGCAGCGGCGATGGCCGGGCACTGTGCAGGGCCCCTGCTTGCCTAAGCGCAGCCCGCCCGTGCCAGGCTGCCGGCAGCCCTCGCGCATATAGCAGCTCGCCTCCCCTACCCATCCATCCCAACGAACTCCTCCCCCGTGGCCCGCCTGCCAAGCAGCCGCACACCACCAGCCTGTCTGCGGCGCTTGGTGGCACGCTGGGTCCACGACAAGACAGTCCCGCCCTTTCCTCCCGCACAACGCGATGCTCCACGCCTTCTTTGCCAATCGATACACACAGCCAAACAAACTGCATTCTCTTCATTCCTCCCTATGCCCCTGCATCCACCCGCTCACCTCCCTACCCTGCCTTGCTGGCGCCATGCCGCAAGTCTGTACCATCGCCACACGGCGCAGCGCGCTGTGCCCCGCATTGCTTTCTTTCTTTCCACCAGAGCGAGAGCAGCAAGAGAGAGAGAGACCAGAGAGCAGCACTCCTCATTTCTTCCCTTTTATTTACCGCATCAGAGACACGGAATCTTTGTTTCCGCCATCCCTCTGGCCGTCCTGCATCATGCGCCCCGCCGCCGCCCCTGCCCCCGCAAACGGGGCGGCGGCCAGCCATGCAGCGCGCCCCTGCAAGTGTGCTCCACACACGATCCCCAGCATTGGTCTGTGGTCTTTCCAGCCGGCTCATACTACCGTCGCACCGAGTCTCCGTCCAGCCTAGTCCCATGCATGTTGCCGTTTCAAACGCGTCGCCTCCATACCCTCCCACCTCCCCTGCCTGCCCTACCTGTTTCGCGGGCGCACTGCCCCCAGGCCCCACCCTAGCAATGCCCCGCCCGATTGAGTGATTGAGTGCTCCAAGCTACAGAGAGAATTTGTGAGAGTGTGTGTGTGTGTGTGTCAGCCCAGCCATTCCTGTAACTGTCTGTTGGTTGGTGGGGGCAGCGGAGGGGAGGGTGGAGCGGCAGGGCAGGAACAAGCATGGTCGAGGGGGAAAGACACATTCAGCGACAGGAGAATAAAGTGTGAAGGGCAGTATAAGGACAGTACTGGAGTGGAGGAATAAGTTTATCGGGAACGGAGAGCAGGGGGGGGAGGCTGGCGTCGCCCCCGCACGCTCGTCGGCTGCCCCTCCCCCCATCTGGCGCCGGGGGCAGGCCCCGCGGGGTGTAGGGTCACACGTGCACCACGGCGTTGACCTGCGCCACGTGCAGGTGGAAGCCGCCCTCCCCCAGCACCAGCTGCCCCGACTCGGGAGAGTAGCGCGCCGCCGGGCTGGGCAGCCGCACGTTGCCGCACACCTGCAGGGGTTGGGTGGGTGGCAAGGCGATTTGGTACCGTACCGGCGCCCATTCATCAGCCAAGGCAATCAAGATGCCCTTCCCCGCTCGCACACGCCCCGCCACCGCCCCCACCATCGCCACGCAAGCATCCGCGCCACGCAGGCATCCGCCCCGCCCCCACCCGCCCCCACGCACCTCCAGCGCCAGCCCCCGCGCCACCTTGAACCTGTGGTGCACATCGAAGCTGCCGCCGCCGCCCGCGTCTGCCACGTACACGGCGCCACCGTCGCCGCGCGGCCCGCTGTGCGTCCCAAACTCGACGGTCAGACCCGCATCGGGCCGCAGCCGCTGGCCTGCAAGGAAACAAAACAGGCGGTGGCAAGGGGGGTGGCGGGGCGGCAGGCCGCGCCGCAGCAGGCCACGCCGCCGCACCCCGGGCTCCCAGCCACTCGGCCGCGGCCAGCCCAGCCGCCCGCCAGCCTGCAGCCGCGCCAGCCAGGCCAGGCTCAAGCACGCCGCCCCCGCCTGCGCCGCGCCCCCGCCCGCGGCGAGCGCACCCTCCAGGCGGCAGCTTGCGTTGAGCGCCAGTACGGCGCCGCCCGCCAGCGGCAGCCGCTTGCGGTACTCCACCTGCTGCTGTGGCATGTTGAGGGTGATGTCGCCCCGCAGCAGCTGGTCCTGTGACAGGCAGGGGCAGCACGCAGCGCTCAGGCAGCACCCGCCGCCAGCCTCCGCCGCTGCAGCAGCAGCAAGCAGCTGCCTGTAAAGGGAGGGTACGGGTAATGTATAGGTGTGGAAAACACCTCCACTTGTAGGCCTGGCTTCCCAGGGAGCTGGTGGCAGGGAAAGGTGGGGGAAGGAGAGGGGCGGCTGCTTCCCGAGGTGCGGAGCAAGGGGTGGGAAGGGAGCGAGGAAGGGGGGCACAGAGGCCACAGCGGGATGGAAGGCAAGGGCGCAGGGGGCACGGGGCACGGAGAGGCGGGCTGGGAGAGGCACGAGCCATGGCAGCGGCAGCGGCGGGCGGTGCGGGCTGGGGCCCGAAGCGGCGGCAAGGGGTCTGTCTGTCTGGCTGGCTGGCACACCCATCAGGAGCAAGTGGCTGCTCGGGCCAAGCTGTGGTGCTTCAGCTGGAAAGGGGGGGATACAGGCGCCACAAGAACACACACACGGGGAGAGAGGAGAGAGGGGCGGAGTGCGGACAAACAGGGCCCCCTGGGGGCCAGCTCACCCTGCACATCATGCCGTAGGTGAACTCCCTAGACTCTGTGTGGTAGTCCGCCTGCAGGGGCAGGTGGAAGGCGGCAGGCGGATGCATGCTAGGCCCGGGGGTGAGCAGCCCGGCCGCCGACGCGCGGGAGAGCAGCTGTGTGCAGCAGGCTGCATGTTGCCGCTGCGGGCGGCTCCAGCCCCGACCAGCAGCGCGCCGAGCGCTACTCGCCTTGAATGTGAACTCCAGCGGCCAGGCCTTGACCCGTTTCCGCAGCTTGAGCGTGTCTGGCTTGGGCCTGCTAGCAGGCGGCGGGTGGCGCGGCGCGGGCGGCGGTGAGTGGCGGCGGGCGTGAGGCGGCGGTGAGTGTCCGGCGGGCGCCAGCGCTCCGCCAACCCCATGCCGGTCGTGTGGGGTGCTGCAGAGCACATCGGGACAGGCTCCCGCCTGCAAGACAGCGGTAAACCTCGCCTGTCGGAAATCATCGCTGTAGACCATGTCACCGCTACTTGCGGGTGCTCAGACCGCAGCAAGTAGCGCGGCTCTTCAGCAGGCTGCGGTGGCGGCGCTGCCGTCGTTGCTAACGCCCGGGAGGAGCTAGGACGCGGGTAAGCATCCATGGCTGCAGCCCAGCCTGTCGGTTGCCGCCTCTAAACGAAGGCCGAGACAACAGGCAGCACCAATTGGCGGTCACCGATCCCGATGGCTGCCTCAGCCACCCTCCACCCCTGGCCCAGCTGGCGGCGTGCATGCCGCCGTCCCCAATCCCGCCGCAAATTCTGGTCGCCTTGCAGCTCACACAGCAGGGCACAGGGGCTACTTCACAAATTCCAGAGGTTCAAGGGCACTCGCTATGCAACGTGCTGTGTATTCGTCATCCTTCTGCATTAGCCGCCATCCCCGCAGCAGGCTCCACCGCAGTGGTGCCGCTCTTGCTGGACTCCCCACCCGGCAGCTTTGGCTTTGGCAGCCCCCTCAGCTGGACGTGGACATGCCGCCGTCGGGGTGCAGCACCTGCAGCAGAAGCATCAAAACAAATATGATAACATGCAGCCTCAAGCTGCAGCAGCCAAGAGCACGCGTGCTGCCCCGGCGGCACACGTGCCGGCGCTGGCGCCTGCCACAAGCACTGGGCCAGCCCCAAACAGATAGCGTGCCTGGCCGGTCATGAAGCTGGCCTCCTGGCTGGCCAGGAAGACGTAGGAAGTGGCCGCCTCCACCGGCTGCAGCCAGGCGGCCAAGCAGGCAGGGTCGGCACAGCGCTGCGTGTCGGTCCTCGGGCCATGGCGCTTAACCCTCCCTCCCGCCCTCCCTCCCTGTGCCCGCCCACCTGCCCGATCCTCCCCAGCGGCGGCTCCTTTGAGAGCCAGGACTGAAGGTTGTCCTGATCGCGTGAGGCCGGGTTCAGCGGGCTCCAAATCTACGGCACGCCACCCCGCAGCGGCAAGCGCCCACGTCAGCAGCAGCTGCGGACCTGGCCGATGTGGCCCAGCGGCGGCGGCGAGGCCTTGAGCCCCTCCAGCGCTTCCTCGGGCATGGTGGCCGGCTGCAGCGGCGTCCAGATCTGCTCCCCGCCAGCAGCGAGGCGCGTGGGCTCGGCGCGCGGGCAAACAACAGCATGGCAGGCAGCACAGCGGCAGGGCGGGCCGGAGATCCGAACGGCCAGGCGGCAAGCAGGCAAGCACCCGCCCAGCAGGCAGCAGTGCGGCACCAGCGCGCTGCAGCTGGCATCATGCAACGGTGGGCGGCAACTGGCGGCAGCGGGTCTCACGGGGCCGGCCGCCACCGCGTTCACTCGGATGCCCTGCGGCGCCAGCTGCAGTGCCAGCGAGCGGGTAAAGGTGACGATGGCGCCCTTGGTGGCGCTGCAGGGCGGGAGGGTCAGGGGAGGGGTGGGGTCGCTGCCACCATGCTGTGTTGCTGCCACCATGCTGTGTTGCTGCCACCATGCTGTGTTGCTGCCACCATTTCTGTGCGCCCTCGACCGTTGCCGCCACAGTTTGGTGGGTGGCAGGGTGTAGTGGTTGGCAGGGTGTGCACAGGCAGGCAGGGGAAGTGTGCGCGAGCGTGCACGAGGGCACCGGTCTGCAGGAGGGAAGGCACCCCACCCCCAAAACACACCCACCCAACAGGACACGCTCAGCACCTGCACCAGCCGAGCCCCACCCTCCCACCTGTACTCCAGCAGGCTCTTGGAGCCCTGGTAGGCGGTGACGGAGGTGGAGTTGACGATGGAGGAGCCGCGCGGCATGTGGGGCACCTGGCCAGGGGAGGAGGGGCAGGCAGGCATATGGTGCGGGGGGCAGGTGGCGGGGTGGGGCAG